CAGCTCAGTTGCTGTTTTCTGACTCACAGATAAAACTGAATTGCCATCGATCAAAATAAAATGGTAATTTTCATCATTCGCATAGAGTTATAGTCATATATGTGCGACTGACAGAAATATCCGTCATTCGCAGCTGAGCCATAGAACTTCAATGACGGAAATATCCGTCATCCGCAGTTAGTGGGTTAAGATCAATGTCAAATTAATATATTTATATAACAATGTTTGTGTCATACTGCTTTCAGGCACCCAGAAATGTTTTTTACTCTGGGGGTGTTGAGGGTTGAGCTAGAAGGTTTGTTTCATGGGAATAAAAATGACAAATTGTTGTGAGAATATAGGATTTTATACCTATTGTGTACTGTACAAGTAATGTTAATGTGGCAACAAGAATGCAGCTATTGATTCTGTGGTTATTATCATTTTACCTACACAAATTTATAGCTAGGATAAAGAAAACCTTTTGAGTGCTCTTGAAATATTCAACACCTTGTTTAAAATTTTATTATGGGATGTGCAGCTCCTCCTGTTCCAAAGTGGCTGACTAGCTTATGCAAAAATACAAAATGAAATTGTTTAATAATTAAGTATCACTACAATGACTAATATGAATGTTTAAAAACAACTTTATTTTTCTATTTACCATTCTTTCATGTATACAAAAAAAAAAAGTTTATTTAAGTATCAGTTAAGTAGTGTTCAACTTCACATAAAATCCAGTATATTTAACAATCAGGTTTTCTTTGAACTATTTAATAATATCATATTAATTACATTTATATTTAGTAATAAGTTTTACTCAAGCTCTAATTACATTCCTTCAAATCATATCAATGTATACAACGTATGTAATATCTTTGTTACTGTTAATTTAATTTACACCAATTAATGTTAATGGATATTTTATGTCAAGTATAGTTATTATTTTTTAACTTCTCTACCTTTAGTGAATTGTAGATGAATTTGTAAATTTACTTTAAAAAAATTTATTGTAGGTTCAACTGCAAGTTAACATTTTCCTAACCTGAAAATGCATTTCCAATATATATCTCCATACAGAGATTAACTGTCTTTGCTCATCTTCCAAAATGAGTTTCATGCCACTAGCCTTGTTTGAGGAAACTCCCACCTAATAACACATTATTTTAAGTGAATTGTGCTGCTGCATGATGAAATCATCATGTGAGGAAAAGCCTTCCACCAATAGGAGGGCAACATACCACCAAGCGCACACAGAGTAGCTAGACTCCCAAACTGATAAGATGAAGAGATCAGTGGAAAATCTACTTAGATCAGCCTCCTTCAGAAAGCACTCAATGGAAGCTCATGGGATGCAACATCTGATGGCAGAGGTTCCATTGGGGCACACCCGTTAGAGACTGCATCTCATCTCATCCAAGATATACTCTTTGCCCATATAGGAAAATGGAAGAAGTAAAGTTCTGTTGCAGAGATGGGCAAAACTGGTACATCATTGTCCAAATACTTGTACACAATTCATTGTACAGCCAATATGTGTAGTGTGGTTGGGGCATGTTCAAAATGTACCTTGTGTACTTACCTTAACTCTACCATCAGACTTTATGGGATAACTCCAGCTGCGGGAGGAGGGTACATAGTTACATATAAGATACTTATATACATCTCAACTCTACCATCAGATTCTAAGGGCCTGACACCAGCTGTGGGAGGAGGATATGTTAGAGATATGTCACAAGTTTGTATGGAGAGCTCACCTCATCTCTACAATCAGACTCTATGGAACTTACATCAGCTGTGGGAGGATGGCACAGTTGTTATGTAGTAAGGACTGGTATTGAGCATGGTCACCTTGACTCTGCTTGACTATTGAACATAGTGGCTGCAGAAGGAAGAAATGTATGTTTATTGGTTTTGTTTAGTGAATGTTCAACTCCACTCAACTGAACAGATTTTATGGATAGACTTTCTGAAGGAGGACAGAACTGTATCACAAGCATTGGTTCATGTGTATTGCATGCACACTTCAATTCTACTGGACAGACTCAAGCTGCAAGAGGAAGGCACAGGTGGCATGAATGATGTAACTGAGTTATATGTGAAGTGACCCACACTACACAAATAATGTCACTACTGCTCCACTTCTCACAGTATTTGTATTCCTTGTTCTAGCCCCAGCAATTGAGTTCCAACTGGTGAGGGTTCTCCATGGTCCACCACCCCAGCAGCTTGGAACTGGTAAATGGCAAGGGTCTCCCGTAGTCCACTCAATGAAGAGGAAAGGAAGAAATTAGTATAGGGAAGACATGGAGAAAATGCCCAGATCTCCACTGGTCCTTCAATGCAGAAGGATCTTTTACTGGAGACAGCACAAAGGGTGATTGCAAAAACCTATCTTTAAAAGCCAGAAAACATGAGCCTGAGATGTAGGGTAGAACACCTCCCTGGTACTTGCTTTTTACATGATAGTCAATGGAATAAGTAGGGTCTGGATTGAACAAGAGAGTGAATATATATATATATATATATATATATACCATGACAATACCCCAAGTGGTATTTTGGAATACCCCATCTCACAGTTGACACGTGTAGAGTCATAATGGATGGTATGATGCAGATTTGCAATAAATATACCTTAGGAAAGAACACTAGCCACCTATGGTGAGATCCTATGGAATGAAAGAGGAGCTCTGGAAGAGAAATAGTATGTATTAATTTCAAAGACAGTGGGGTGGTTGAAGAATGGTGACTGGTGGAAGCCAAACAACCACCTGGAAATAAAACAGCAAGAAGGTTTACAGAAGGAGACGAAGGTAAGGAGAGAGTCTGCATGCCTGCTCCTATAAGGACTGGCAAAGAAGAGATTTAAGAGAATAAAATAAGATGATGAATAAAATGTGCAGAAAAATGAAACAGTCTGTGATCATCAACATCTCAAGACAAATATATCAACAGAAGAGTCGATGGACCCATTCCATAAGTAAAGAATGAAATAAGCTCATGGTAAAAAGAGGAATCCCAGGGTAGGGACAGACAAAGGCAGAAACCCTTGAGGGAGTGGTCTGTGATAAAATACATTGAACAACCCAGGAAAACACAGGACAGGGAAGAAAATAGTTTGGTAGATTTGATTAGCAAAATCTAGTAATCAACACCGAATTTCATTAGAAATTAGCAAATATTGTTTTGCATCTTTTTAGCATTCATCATTTTAACACATTGTGGCAATCAAATCCAGCACTAAATGTCTTAACTAATGAAAAGAGGTAAATAGTACATTTTTATTCTAACAACACTTTTATTCAGATTCAAGCCCTAATTTTTAATTGTACCATACGTGGAATTTCATGAACAAAATAGTTCTTGGTATATAAAGTAAAACTTCAAAAGAAATACCAAACATCTTAGCTGTCACAAAATAATGCAACAATTGATTAACCAGAGAAAGATGTGACTTGAAGATACTGTTGTTATTTGTTATTAAGCACAAAGCTACACAAAAGGCTATCTGTGCTCTGCCCACCACGGGTATCGGAACCCAGTTTCTAGCAGTATAAGGCTGCAGACATGCCACTGGAGGGCAAAGATATTGTAACTGAACAGTGTTGCCACAAATCATTTTTCAAATTAATCTAGTTAATTTTTTTTTTGGATGGGGGGGGGACTTATCACTCTCTTCATAGCATGGTCTCCTTGACTTTTTGAAGAAGAAAATATCTAGTGATTTTTCAGCAGTAATTACCTCTCTCGCCAGGGGCATCCTTTACTAGTATGTCACAGAGTTTTTAGTGAGTTATATTCAAAATTTTAAAAAACTACTTTTTGTTTATGTTATACTAATTAGTATAGCATAAAATCATAGCTAATAATCTCTATTTTAATAGTATACAAGTTTAAGTTCTTAATTTTATAAGGCAATATTTAAACAAAACCCAAATTTCCCCTAGCATGAGTAATGTGACATTGTTTTCTCTACACATCTCCTCTTCTCTAATTTATTTACCACCCCTCCAAGAAGTTTGAAATTTAACGTAAATTACTCATTATAATGTCATTGGTCAGGCAAAGCATAACTTTCATAGTCTTTAGACCCTTCTTGCCACACCCACCTGTTACATTCTCTCTTTCAAGATTTGCAATAGTTCTCTCTGACATTCAATACTATATTATTTATAACCAATAGAAAGCCAATATTTCATCTATCAAATGACATATTGTATTAAATTGTTTTCTGTACAACAAATTGTTAATTTCTCTTTCAGCACAAGCTTCACAAATTAAAATAACTAAATACATGTATAATAAAACTGTGTTAGTTAGGATTACTGAGTTATATCTAATCAGTAAAGTTCATAGCAATCATACTGATTTAATGACATCCATGATGGAACTGCATGGCATGAAACTATAAACAATTCTCTACTCTGCACTTACTTACATATTCTGAATAGTTTTTGAAAAGTCACTAAATGTTATTTAGTACATGAACTGCAATACTAAAAGTTGCTATCTTCTTCTTCTTAGTTCCTGTCATTCCTAGTGGAACATAGGGCTACAACAACACTTCGCCAACGAAAGTGTTGTTGCAGTTTCTGTAGCAGATTGTTATCAGGGTGGAGTTGCTAGCCCCACGCCCAAGTGGGCATGTTTGGTGCGACAAGGACGCGAACCCGCGACCCTTGGATTGCGAGTCGAGTGACTTATACACCGGGCCATGCCGGGCCCAAAAGTTGCTATACTTACACTTATATAAAAATGAGTATCTATAGATAAAAAAAAACAAATAATACAGAGCTAACTTTGGTCTTGGCAAGCTAAATGATGCTTACAAGAAATAAAAATGAACATTCAGAGTTCTACTTCACTCTGAACAATTGGTTCATTTTGTACATGTAAACATAAAAATCTTCCTGTGCATCACAAGTTAACATGTATGTATGTGTATGACTTTAACACAATATCTATTTGGAGATATTTGTATGTGTGTGTATGTTTAACAATGAAACAGCATCTCAAACCTGTACATAAGGACCATGATGTCCACCAGAAGATGGGCCTTCATCAGGTCTTATACCTGTCCAACTCAACATATTTTCCAGCTGTTCCACAGCTCCAGGTACCAAACGTGTCTATAATATATTAACGGTCAAAATTTTACAGAAAAACAGTCAGACAAATTTCATTGTGAAATGCTATTTCTGGTACAATTTTTTTGACAAAGCTAAACACAGAAGGCAACAGTTAAGAAATTCCTACAATGAACATTCTAATAGTGGTGCTACACAATGCTAAACCTATATTTATGATGTGATATTAACCTTGAGTAACCTTATAATTCATATCCAAATTTTAAAAATTATACACAACTTTATGTTTCTTCATTGCATTATGTCATTTACATATAACAAGTATAATAAAAAAAAATTAAGTTTTATAAATATAACTAGGAATCGATATATACATAACTTAGCTAGCTATGATAATATAGAAAGTTTTAATGTTACAAAAAGTATTGAAACAAGAAAGACAAAACTACAAAAATTCAGTTACTTCAAACTTACAAATTTTATCTCTACTTTGGCAAATCACTGTAGTTATGTTAGAATGAGTCAAAGGAGGGATAAAAGTTAACTTTTAAGTAACTCCATTTTTGTAGTTGTGTTTTTCTTGTTTCAATAATATTTGTAGCATTAAAACTTTCTATATTACAATAACTGACTAGGTTAAGGAAATATAGATCTCTACTTCTCTATATAAAATTTAAACGTTTTTTTATTATACTTGTTTCCTTTTTAATAGCCATATTTTTGTGCATCAGTAATACCAAGCATGGGGTGCATGTATACTCGATTCAATTTCATTAATCATCAGGATCTCTACCAACCTACCCTCAAATGTAATGGTATGCCCAAAGTAGCACATCCATTTCATATATATACAAGTATCCTTTCTGGTACAGGAAATGAATTATTAGGAACTCACATGGAAGAGTTCTGTGAAAGAATTAGTGCAATATTGTTCATAATGTTTTTTGTATGCTTGTCTCAAAAAAGACATTTACTTACATAGATAAAAAGTTATTGAAATATTGAAATTTATGGATTCACTCCATAAATATGCAAATAGCAACTTACATTATTTTATAAGTACAATAAGTTTTAGTTTTGCTCAGCCAATACTGTGAAATAGTCATAGTTATTACTTAGACATTTTAAAGATGGTTTAAATAGGCAATTTTTTATGGCTGCCATTTTGTTCCATCACAATCCCTACTGTTAAGTATTACTGTACTTAATGATGTGTATATCATACAATTTTCTTGTGTTACTACACTGCACACATAAGTACAATCATGCTAAATCACTGTGTAATAAGAGCTTATTAGCAATTACTTATATTCATTTCAGAAAGATGTATTAAAATTCAAAGTCTATAATCACACAGTAATTCCTTCTCAGGTATATAAATAAGATACATTGAGATAACTAAATACAAAAACATGACAACAGAACAAAGAATAATTCAGACTAAACTTTGATGCTTTTACTTAACTTGATCACAAAAATACACAAAGAAAAAACTGTAGTTTGGTGACAAATATATTTTAAATAATAACTTATCTTAATAAATTAAGAAACAAAATGCATGTCCAATAATGTAACAGTAAATATTATCATATGTCAGCAATTATGTTTACCATTATGCTCTCAGGATTCAAACTCATAACTGAAACATTTCATGGAAACTCCGATATTGTGAAAAACTATATACAATTGTAATTGTAAATATAAAAATTACATATCTATAAAAAATATTTAACACATCATGTAACAGAATAATTCTTTTACATTAAAATCAATAAAATTAAGCCATTAAGATTATTAGCTGTCTTAGTATAACCTGCAACACATTGACTCTTGAGACAATGTTTTGACATCTGTCAATAAATGCAAAAGAAAATTTCAACAAGATATTTTCCTGATGTGTTGTTACTTAAACAATATTTGTGAAGCATTTTTTTTTCTCTTGGTGACAAATAACACTGACTACTGTTCAAATTAAGCTAAAAGTGTTTAATACTTCCCAGTTCATGACTGACTTTGAGATGGCATACTTATTAAAAAAATTGTTTTAGCAAAATATGATGCATTCTTGAAACATCAATACAAGATTCATAGTTTCTGAAGGGATATGGCCAACCGTAAATAGTTTCACTGTTCAAACAGCTTAGTAGCTTTACATCAATGATCCCTTTTTGTTGCAATATTTATGGTTGTCCAAGAGACTGTTTTCATTGTTACATTTGTATGAAAGGTTATTCCAGACTGTCAAAACTAGCATTTTACCTATGATGTATTTTGATTAGCACCTACAGAAATGTAGAATACAACAGTCAACTATAAAACTGAAATACTTTAATTTTATTAATAAAGCTGGTGATCATATAAAATTAATTATTTTCTATTGCTCATCATTCAAATGATTCATACGTACACACACACACACATACTTGCACAGAAATACACACAATACAGCAAAGGAGATGATGTTTTCTTCACATCACTTACCTGATCAGTGTCTTCAATTCGGAGAATGAACATTCCTTTATGTTTCTTTGCAAACAAATAATTGTAAAGAGCAGTTCGAAGTCCACCAAGATGTAACTGGCCAGTTGGGCTAGGTGCAAATCTTACACGAACATTCTGAATAGTTTCAGAAAGTTTACTAAGGGTACTAGAATATCTTACCCAAGAAAAGTCCTTGTTTGTAGAATGGGCAACTAATAAAAAACTATCATGCTGTTTCTGCCACAAGTGATTTAAAATATGTTTACAACACTTAAAAAATCGTTTATTTCCACTTTCCAGAACCATTTCTTTACTTTCCTGGATAATTGTACTATGCTTTCAGAATCTGTACTGGTGCTTCATCAACAGTTTACATTTTTCTAAAACAAAAACATTTTAAATAAATTAGGATACATGTATCATGATTTAAATGTTTAATAAGAAAACTGGAATGTAAATGCAAAAAACTTATACATGTTAAGAAACTTTTATACAGAAAAACAATGACTCTCATTCTATTAGGGAAGTAACATCTTTTAAAGACTTTCATTAGTGTCAACACAACAGTTGTTAAGAACATGCAATCTAATTACTTTAAATATATAAGTTACATGAATGTAATGCATGTTACTTCTGTGTTTACCTCTTTGCAGTTTTGACAAAATATTTTATAGAATTATAACTACTTTTTGTAGCCGATATATTTAGAGGATTATAATCAATCATTGCATCCAGACAGCATACAATAGAATGTGTATTATGATTAAAGCTGTGTATGTACCAGAATGCAAGTTAGTATTCTTTAAGTTTAAGGATAACAAATAAATGATGGTAAAACATTTTTCTTTGCACAACAAGAGTATGTAAATTTGTAAGCATAATTATACTTACTTTAACAATCAAAATCTATCTTTTACTTTCTTATGAACAACAACAATATAGTACAGTTTATACCAAAACTACAATTATTTTTCTCAGAAATGATTCAGTGATTAAAAATTGATAAGCTGATACATGAAAAAGTCAGACTCGAAAAACAGCCAAAAGTAATAGAAAATCAAGCAACTTTGTGGAAAATGATGATGCAAAACAATTGACAGATAAATTTAGGCTCAGGTAGACAAGGTCAACATTATGAATCTAGTGAGTCAATTAGGTCACAGAAAAATTAACAAAGTAGCAAAAGTCAAATGAATAAGCATTAATATAAAGTAAGTCATTATAAACGTGACAAGGAAACTGACAGTGATGATGAACTGAGTAATGCTAAGACTGATGATATAGTAATTTATTCAAATGAAGATTAAAAAAAGTAATGACTCAACCTCTTGGATCATGGTATAAGTAACGAACAAGGCAGTTGTAATAGCACTATAAGATCTAACTCAAAGTCTATTGTGTGTGAAAATAGCAGTAAGTGTTACCATGCTAAAAGCTAAGGTGTTAGCATTCTAACATATGAAGCCATTAAGGCAGCAGGAAGTCAAATAAGCCAAGGAAACTTGTATTTATTCAATCTGGCAAACTGAACATAACAATATGAAAAGTATGTTTGCACACTTTGAGTTTAGATTAGCTAGTTTTGAATTTGACTTAAATACTAAACCTCTGATGAATGATGTGATAAAAGTAGTTGAAGAATCAATCAAACAAACACAAGCATTCCTATAGCTGCTATGCAAACTGAGAATGTAATCACTGAAATGAGAGAAAGAGACAAATTCCAAAATAATGTGAATATGTTCAATGTAGAAGAATCAATAACAAATAAGAAAATGAAATATATGGAAGCTTTCTTTGAGAAAGCAAATCTTTGGAAAGCAAAAATAAACACATATGACATAAAAAAGTATAAAGACTTGGCAATAAAAAAACAAAGAAAAAATGAAAAAAATCAACTCACAAAAAAGCCCCTTTTTTAAGAAATTAAACAAACTAAAAATGTTACTGAAAGAAAATATATCAATGTTGATAATGATCAAACTGAAATGAAACAAAAATTATTTAAGAAACTCCAGGCTGAAGCCAGGAAGAAAGACTATGAAACTGAGGATGCCCCCCTTTTATATACACAGTCAGGGGTCCTTAATAGAATTGTTACACAAAAAAAGGTGAAAAAAGGAATGACAGAAAAGAAGTAACTAATGAACACAGATAAGACTCAACTTATTTTTCTGATGAAAAAAGTTGAATAACAGTTTGTCCAGGTTAAATGTTTATTTTACAGTGCTGACTCCCTACTGAATAAAATTAACTAACTTAAACAAATGGTTATAATAGAAAGATCTTTGATAACTGCTGTGACAGAAGAAAACCAAAACCTATCATAATAATTTAAAGAGGACTATTTTGAATGGATATAATTTGTACACAGTGAAAATAACCAACAAAATGGAAAGAAGCATTATTACATTTGTACGTATTTCCTTAATTGTAACTGATGTTGACATTTTTGAGGAATATCAAGAATTTTGTTAGATTGAAGCTTTTTGGTAATGATAAGTATTACTAATTTGTATATACAGAAGTGACAGTGACACAGCTGAAAACGATAGTAAGTTACTTAAAGTTACAAAAAGGTAGAAGTGTTGTCCAAGTTGTGTTTGCTAATGAATTTCTTAATACTGAAATAAGACAGTATGATATTAAGTTAAGTAACATTTAATTAACTAAAGAAATTCAATGAACTGAATATAGCTAAATCACCAGGATTCAATATGATACAAACCAGAGTTTTGAAAGAACTGAAAAACATGATTATCAAACCACTCAAAATTATACTTGAGACATCACAAAGAAATAAAAATCTTCTTGGTGAAAGGAAATAAGAAAATTACCAAAGATTTATACACCAGTCAGCTTGACATGTATCTTATATAAATTTTCTGAATCAATTATAAGAAACAGTGTTATTAAACATTTTAAAAGAAATTATTCGGTAAAAAGCAATTTGGATTCATTTATGGTTGTTCTACAACTTTACAGTTATTGCATGTGATGACAGACTGTATTGACAATGGTGAATTTGTTGATATATTTTACCTTGATTTTATGAAGGTGTCACGCTTGGGACTAATTAGTAAAGTGAAAAGCTATGGAATAAGTGGCAATATTCTAGGATGGATTACAGCATTCTTGTCTGATAGAAAGCAATGAGTATGTGTGAATGATGAATTTTTTTAACCAAATGGATATCTAGAGAAATTCCTGTTTTATTTGTTACTTATATCAATGGCTTGTCAAAAGTTATAAACCATTCAGGTGTGTATATATACGTGCGGACAATACTAAGAGTTTCAAGGATATAAATTGTATTAATGACTGTGATAAATTACAAAAAAATTTAAATGCATTGATAAAATAGTCTTATATATGATTATTAAAACTGCATCCAAATAAAATGTGAAATTTATCTCTTAGTAACTGTAAATCTGTAAATTCTCACTACAATGATAATCATGAACTAGCACGTATCAAGAAAAGGACCTTGGTGTTACTACTGACTCTGAATCATTACTTGAATATCTTCTGAAAGAAAAGATTAACAAAGCTAACAGTTTAATGTCTCTTATAAGGAGGCATTTACATACATGGATGTATTTATACAAAGAACATGTAAGACCTCAATTAGAATATGCTAATCAAACTTGGAATTCTTATAAAATAAAGGGTATAGAAGCACTTGAAAACATTCAATGAGGGGTTTCTAGGCTTGTACCATCACTACAGAATTTAAGTTATGAGGACAGGTTAAGATAGTTGAAGTTGCAAAGTTTAACTCACAGGAGATTAAGAGGATAAATTATAGACATAAAGTTTAACATACATGACAGAATAAGAACCTAGACATGAAGAAATAAGAACACAGGAAAATACTCTTTTTCAATCAGAATAATTCAACCATGGAGGTCACTCAGAAGAAATAGTATTAGCACTTAGTATCTTAGCATTTAAAGCTAGACTAGAGTCCAATAAAGAAGCCTAAGCCTGCATAGAGGATCACCTAAGTAAACCTAAATAGTAAGTAAAACTTTTATGATAAATATATAATGCTTAACATGGTAATTAATAGAATTACAGTGAAATAACACTACTGAATATACATCAGTGTAGTATGAAAAGAAAGGTAACTTTGTGCCATCTTCATATTAAACAATGGAGTTGAGGAGCTGAAGTTACAAAATATTCATAAAAATCTATAAGGAAAACAAAGTGCCTGAAAAAAGTTGTTAGAGAGAAAGCCCTCAAGCTGAGAAAATACACCAAGAATTCCTTAGACATTTAAGATCATAGAGAGTGTATTCCATTATCTGATATTAATTCATCATCTTAAACACCATTATGGAAGCTATTAATTGGTAGTTTTATATTCTACAGGAAAGAGAAGGTAACCATTCTGGTCAAATCCACAAAGTTTATATTAGAAATTCATACTAAACATCAAAACATGACCAAAGGTGGTTGAAGGAAACATACAAATTTAAGCAGATAAAGTAGACAAGCACTCAACTTTGAAAAAAAATTCTCCTTTAGCTCTTGCAAATGTGCAAGCTCAGATCAACTTAACTTTAGAACCTCCACTGCACCATGATCACCACCTGGTCAAAATCCAGTGGAGTATGTTCTATGGGAAAATCACCCTCCATCAGCTCTTAGTTTGTCTTCTTATAAGAAAAATGCCTTGAAGTCAAGTACAAAAATACAGATCAGATCCACACACACACAACTTTCAATACACTATTAACACTGCTTTTAAACTAAGATGAAATATGTTTCATATGAAATCACCTTCCATTACCTCTTGGATTGTCTTGTTACAAAACAAAAAAAATGTCTAGAAACCACATGCAAAAATACACATCAGACCAACAAGTAGAAAGTTCACTGCACTACAAACACTGCTTTTAGGCTAAAAAATTCAATGAAATATGTTCCACAGGAAGACATCCTTTGTTAGCTTTTAGTTTATCTTTTTTTTAAAAGATATGAAAAAATAGAACAAAAATACTGCATATTTAAATGCTTGAGAGCAAATAGAAATAAAATGTTTTTAAATATTAAAATAGTTCACAAAAATTCAAAATTATCACAGGTTAAAATGGTGAAAAGTCACCTTCAGCATAAAGTTCACAATCTAACCATGCAGCAAAAGTGTACATACACTAAATACGTGTAGTTGCAGGGACTATACTGAAAGAATACTACTACATAGTAGTAGTACTAGCTGGATAATAGATATGATCAACCAGGTAGTTCAGTACACTTAGATATAAGGAAGTTGTTTAGGAGATAATTCTGGTAATTAAAAAAAATATATATCCAGATATATCACTACCATAAATGTTGTTGGGCCCAAAAATCATATTAGTACTGTGGTAACCATCCTCTGAACCCTTTCCAATATTTTTTTTTTCCTACAAACCCCTACAGTGCTAATAACCCCACTAAAGTATCTGGTTTCTCTGGTTTCTCTGGTTTGTTTATCAGTATCGGTAAATATAAATAAATCTAGTCGAATAATTACTCTCCAAAACATAAAATAAAAAATAAAACGACTACACAGCATCAGTATCTAATTATAAGAATACAATAAACTCATACCATAAAATAAAGGAAATGTAAGAATGTGCATCAATCTTAAAAAGTGACACTGAGTGATGTTTATTATTATTGTTAATTAATTAATATTAACGATACTCACGACAGCAAGTTATTTTAGTGTCTTTGCCAATTGGTATTCTATATATACTAGGGACACCTTGGATCCGTAGTAACTAATCGTATATTAGATAATCCTCGTATTAAATACTAATGATTTAACTTTCTTTTGAACGATAATTTGGATTTCGAATCACCTAACATGTGCCACAAGAAAATAATAAAAAAACATTCTCTCAGATTTCCAGCAGAGGACGCAAGTAGGCCCATAACTATCTTACACACACAAATATACATATATGTGTATAAATATATATATATGTGTGTGTGTGTGTGTGTGGTGGCCAATGGAATTCAAATATTTCTCTATATTTATACAGTTCACATTTTAGCCAGGCAGGCAAGAGATATTGCCTCCCAAGCGTAACTAAATACACATATTCAGGTTTTGCTTATATATTAATCATATTCAGTTTGATAAGCACATTTATAAACAAATAGTAGATATACTGATGGGGTCTAATTATTCAGGCTGTATTGCTAATTTATATCTTTGACATCATGAAAATATATATATAAATCGATTTACAAATGCAAATTTATTTTTTTAACATATTGTTACGTCTCTGTTCTCGTTTGTTAATTTTCCGTGGAAATTATTTCCGAGAAACTTCAGCCGATACAAGTCCTTTCTTAAATAAAACTAGTTTATTCTTTCTCAATTCAACTTTGCAATACACTTAATTTCCACAGTTACTTTAACTTAAACATACGCCATAATTCACAATGATTTACACACTTTACTTATGGCTTGACTCGATTATCTGTCTATACCTTCAATCTCTCTGTCTGCTATTCCAGTTCCGATTAATTGTCTCGCTTTATCTGGCGCGGTTATATACAGGAATAGAGGGCGTCTAGCAAATACTGGAATATTCGTGATGTTCTCTGATCCTTATAGAAACTCATCACGTGTTACCAGAGTCACGTGACTTCCGCTGTCGTAACAATATAGATACAGAATAAAATGGAAACATCTGGGTAAATGAGGGACAACAAGTATAGGTAATGCAGAGACTACCACACGGGTGTGGCTTGTCCATTGATTAAGCAATAACATCCCAGTATGCATAGGATCATGTATAAAGATGCTGGATAGGCCTGGTTGCTTATAACCACGGCTACCGTGGCTGCAACAGGAGACCTCAGTGATTTTGAAATAGAGGTGATTGTTGGGAAGCGTTTGGAGGGAGCTTCAGTAACCAAGACAGCTCAACTTGCTGATGTTTTACGATCAGGTGTCTAAAGTGATGTCAGCATGGAACCCCGAGAGAAAGTCATCATCAGCAAAGGGCAATGGTGGAAGAAAGCACATACTCCAAGATCGTGATGTCCGCACATTAATTCGAACTGCAAAGTAAAACAGGCGAGCAACTGCAGATCAATTGACCGCAAATTTCAACCTGTGGTGAGAACAGCCAGTTTCATCAAAAATGGTCAGCCAAGAACTCTACAGAACGGGATACCATAGGCAGGTTGCAGTGCACAAACTGCTCATCACACTTGGCAATGCACCATTGCGTGTCCAGTGGTGCAAAGAGCACAGGCTATGGAATACCGAGCAGTGGAGAAATGTGATATGGTCAGATAAAGCATCCTTCACCATGATCTCGACAAATGCACGGCTGCATGTGTGGCGCCAACCTAAAGAACTCTATAGCCCTGAGTGTTTGGTTCCAACAGTGAAGAATTCTGGTAGTTCCGTAATGGTGTGAGGTGCATTTTCCTGGCTTGGTTTGGGTGCACTCATACCCTTAGAAGGAAAGTTCGATGTCAATCGTTACTTAATGGTACTGAGTGATCATCTTCACCCCATGTTAGAGCATTTCTGTTCTGCAGAAATGGGTGTCTTTTAAGATGATAATGCCCCGTCCACAGAACATGAGTAGTCGCCCAATGGTTTAAGGAGAATGACAATGACATTACCTGCATGTCATGGCCTTCTCAGTCACTAGATCTGAACCCAATCGAGCATGTGTGGGATATTCTGGAACGATGCCTGAGACAGTATTTTCCACTTCCATCAACTAGGCGTGAGTTGATTGGATTTCTCGTGGAAAAGTGGTGCCGCTTTCCTCCCGCAGAATTGCAGATATGGGTAGACTATGTCACGGCGCATACAGGCCATCCTGACTGCACGTGGTGGCCCAACATCCTATTAAGTGACTTTATATTGGTGTTTCCATTTTTTTACCACTACCTGTATATTGTCCCTGAAGAAGAAAGGCCCATCTTTCGAAAGCACTCAGGTTTTCTATCTTTATCTCTACGTACCATATCCAAACAGGACACTGTTGACCATGATCTTCCACGGATTTCTTCTTCTTGAGGCGTAAAGAATTTACATTGTCGATACATTAATCCATTTAGATAGACTCTTAATATAAGTCAATTTCTGTCTTCTACAGTCTCTCCTTCCTTCAATCTATCCAGTTACGACTAGGCTTTCAATTTCTTCTTTCCTCATAACGTGCCCGAAAAACTCCAACTGTCTCTTTCTAATGCTAGCCATCAGGTTCCTCTCGCAACCTGCTCTTGACAAAGAAATCTGCATTTGAGGTGTGACTTACTTAACATACCTTCAAGCCATGCCTTAAGAACCACAGCTTAATTGCTTTAATACTATTGTCCATACTAGGCGATATTGTCCAACATTCTGATGCATACACGAGAATTAGAATAACACAGAAATCCAAAACTCTTAACTTCGTCTCCATAGAAATTTACTATTTACCAGTATGTTTTTCATTATCAGAAAAGTGTCTTTTGCCATACCTATTCTCCGTTTTAGTTTATGATCACATTTACCATCTGATGTTACCCAGCCTCCCAGGTAGTTGATTTTATTAACCTGTTTTAACTGTTCTTTATCCACTTTGACAATGCATACAGAAATTATCTTCTTTGTAATTACCATGCATTCTGTTTTCCCACAGTTAATACTTAAACTCTTCTACTCACTCTCACTAACAACTTTATCTAAAAGTTTTGCAGCTTCTCTTCTAAATTAGCTATTAAAACTGTGTCAGCAGCATAACGCAAGTTGTTCAAATTCTGCCAGCCAGTGATCAGCCATGGTAAATCCTCAATCTTTCTTCCTCAGAAGTTTCGCAATGTATAAATTAAACTAGTTAGATGAAAAGACACAGCCTTGCCTCACACCTCTCTTAATTCGGACGAAATTAATCATTTAATTCATTTTCTATCTCCATTGCTGCAGTATGGTCCCAATAGAGGTTCTCAAGTCTTTACCATCAATATCCAGTTCTCCCAGCATTTTCATTAATTCCACATGCTTAACTCCATCAAAAGCTTTGGTATAATAAATAAAACACAAGAAAAGATCCTTTTTTATTAATTTCTATTGTCCTCTCCAAAAGCATTCATACTACGAAGATAGTATTTCTTGTATCAAAATCTTCAATAAAACTACGTTGAATTGTTGCAATCTACGGTATTATTCTATTTCTCTCTCTCGTTATCAACATCTTAATAAGATATTTGTCACATGGCTCATTAAACTGATGGTTCGATGGTATTCACATTCAATGGCTCCAAGTCTTTTGTGGAGCGCATTAAAGATCGATTTATTAAGATCCTTAGGTATTTCATCACTTATAAATCTCATTGATAATAGTTGTTCACTTTTCTATATTAAATTCTTCCAAACATTTTACTTGCTCTACTGCAATTTCGTATGGTCGTGTAGCCTTTAAAAAGTTTTCATTCTGTTGATAACTGTTCGTACTTCTGACTCAAGAATTTTCAATACATCCATGTTTTTCTTAATAGATGGCTTTTCTTCACAACTGTGGTGGAATAAATATTCAACATACTCAGTACATCTTTTCAATACTTATTCTCATTCCGTAATTACATCACAATTTTAGCTTTATACATCCACTAGCAATGCACTCTCCCTTACCTGTGTTGTCTTTGATATCCCTATACATCGATGTAACATCTTTATCTTTTTGTTTTTCTATTTTTATACATTTTTAAATATCCATTTTACCTTTTGTTAATTGCACATTGTTCGAAATATTTTGCCAAGTTTCTTATACTCTTCCGTACTTCTGGATTGCTGGGTTATAGAGTATCGTGTTTTTGTGTTAAATTGACGATTTAACATAATTATATTGGTAACATTTATCCTGCTGCTCTACGTATCAAGAACACCTCCTACCAAATACTGAAGCACATTATTTAGATTTAGATATTAAGATAATTAAGAATTATAGTAATATTAATATTTATAACAAAAAAATGATTTCACATTTCAAATATATGGACTTCCCTCTCCAAATAGTAATGTACTAACAAACACCATACAGAGTATTATACATTCACAGCTTCTTAGATATTGTACAGTTTGTAGCAAAATACAATTTTTAATAATTTTTATAAATATATTAGTACAAAAACTGATGTTTGTTAACATTCTTGAAAAAAAAAACCTTCAATAAAATAAATATTTCAAATCATTTAGATAAAGTTGAAAATTATAACACAAATAATATTATAATATATGCAATAAAAATTATTTCTAAAATTCAGTGAAGGGTAAATTATTAGAATTGCATATTTCGACAACGCTATATCTTATATAGGCGGATAGGTGAACTAATATAGATGTATTACATTCTTTATATAAGTCCTGCTAGTGTGTAGATCTCTTTAGAACTGTGGTGGAATTTTGGGGGATGGGAGCTATATTACTAGTGAAAGATTTGGCTTAGTACAGTAGTACGTTAATATTCTGATATTTATGTCCAAACATCATACTGGGGGCTGGAATGCCAACTTCAAGGACAGTTTTGTTGTCTCCCCCATTGATGTATACTATTATAATTATTATCTTTCTTTATTTCTGTTTTTATATGTACAGCATTCTAATTATCTTTCCTTATTTCTGTTTTTTATGTATAGTATTCTAATTATCTTTCTATATTTCTGTTGTTTTTTTTATGTATAGTATTCTAATTATCTTTTTTATTTCTGTTGGTTTTTTTATGTATAGTATTCTTATTATCATTATTTCTGTTGGTTTTTTTATGTATAGTATTCTTATTATCATT